CTTAATTCCTTGTTTTACTCTCCATGAAAGAGCCATGATGTTTTGCAACCTTATGAAGCTCACTTTTCTCCTCATAAAAACCTTTCCCACAAGGCACCATTCTTCCATCTCACGTGAGGTAGTAAACCACTTATTAATTAAAGAAAGCTCACCTCTCTTCTTTGTTGTGAGACTAATTTTCCCCATTGAGGACCAATATCATTCTCAACATGCTCAATTTCTACCAATTCTCTATGATCCATTGTGATAAACCAATATGTCATAAACCTGCCAAATCATCTCCAAACAAAAGCCCTTAACTATTGCACTAGTATTTAATCTCACTTTGGAAATCTTTGATTATAGCTAAGAATCAGGCTAGCTATTTCTTACTGGACTAGCTTATACTAGTAATGCTGTTATACCCAAAGTGATGGAAAGAGTCGTTGAAAATTATACTTGCTTCCCACTTACCACAATGGTAAAAAAAGAGATAATGATATATATGGAACTATTTGACTCACAAGTAAAGAAAGTCACCCTTATAGGAGTAAACTCATAACATTAGACCCTAACCCTAGTTTCAATCTATGGCATGCAAGAAATCTTTTTCCAAACCTTTTTCAAGACATACAAAATTAATTAGATTTTGCTATTAAGTCTTTTTCTCTCCAATGGTTAAGGTTAAGGTTAAGAGTTCATTAGTTGTTGGTGGTTGGTCCTTGATTTAGGGTTGGTCTTCTCATCTTGTTTCTTATTTTTTTTATAATTCATCATCCTTATTCCTTTGTTTTTGTTATTTTAATTTGCTTGTACTAACTAGTTTTATTGGAAGGCATTATATAAGCTTAAAGAATTATAAGTGTAGATCTCATGCATGGCAAAAACTAGGCTTGGGAACAATTGGGATAGAGGTGTGCATAAGTGTGTGTAAGGTTTAAGGTATGGGCTTAATGGTCACTAAAAGGGGGTTATGTAGAGAGGGCTATTCATGGGTTTTCAAGCACCATAGAGCATAATGGGCTGAGGCTAGGTGAAGGTATGAGGAAACAGAAGAATGGTAAGGTGCTGGTTATTAAGTAAGAGATAGGTAACCAGACAGTTAGTACATTGAACAAAATGCAAGTAGGTAACTCTATGGAAGAGTTTTGTCATCAGGTGTTAGTTACTTAGAAAGTGGATGATAGGATTGCTACAACAATGAAATTGAGGTGATGGGTAGCTTTGTAAAGGATTTTAGTTGATTATAGGGTGCACAAGTAAAAGGAAAGGGAGAACAAGGGCTACTTGAAAAACTTGGGAAAATAGAAAAACAAGGGGCATAGTGTAAGATAGGTACAAAGTGGTGAGGGATAGAATGAAGGATAGAATGAAGGTAATGGTATAGTTAGGGAGAAAAGTTTGAATGGCTTAGGGAAAAAATATTGAACCTTTACTAAAGGAATTATAGGTGAAATTTTGCCTTGCTGGAGAGGAAGAAATTGAAGTTCATGGTCAAAGACGCAAAAAGATGGTGCAATAGTCACTTTGGTGATCAAGGGAAAAATTAGCCTCCCTAGGTAAGAAAGGAGATAGTTTACTAGTCGGGGTCAAGGGGCCTTAAGTGCATTGGCAAGAAACGCATAATAAATCCTCTTTAATGAGGGCAGCACAAGCCAACCAAGGAAAGAAGACCTCATAAGCTAGGGTTTTATGATTGCACTAAGTATTCTACAAGCTCTTACCTTAGTTTTTTCTTGTTCAAGATAGCTAGTCTCTTTAACTCGTGGGTAAAATGGATAGTTGCAATTTAGACTCCTTGAAGAGAAACACATGGGGATCTTTTGATACAATGGGATTGGTCTTAATAGCGAAATGGCACTTTGATGCTTAAAGTTGGGCAATAATTTGATTAAGAGTGATTTAAGGTACACCTCTTTTATGTTCTTGCCAGTTAAGGCAATAACTCGAATTACCTTGTGAGCTTACAAAGCAAACTTAAATGTTAATGTGAATGATAATTTATTCATCATCAATAAAAAGGACATACAAAATCCTTCAAAACCCGTGTGGAATTGTGGGGCGTATATAAATTTTGGCTTGAGATTCATGTTAACAATTAATTTTTTCTATCAACAACCTCACCCTAACATTCCTGTAAAGAAGAAGGGAATGAACTTCTTCTAGTGACTTACTATGAACTTACACATTACACTAGTCAATAATTTTTTATGTAATTAATATTTTTCTAAATAAATTGTTAAATTTTATATTTTGTTGTATAGATCATGCCTAGTTGATATATATAATTTTTTTGATAGATAACATATTTAAATTTTAAATTAATTGGATGTGCTTAATTGTTTTATAATAACACATAACTTTAGACTGATAAATACATACATAAGTCAAGCTTTTTCATTCCTATTAGAACTTAAGGTGTGTTTTGCACACTTCGTCTACATTGGATTTGGTTAGGTGTCTACTAATCATAAATATTTGTATCAATAATTAACTTAAAATATAAATTAAATTATCTTTTTTATAATTACTAATTGTAAATGTAATAATTCATAAAAGAAAATTTTGAATGCTATATATGAAAGAAGACTTAAGTGTTCAAATTTAATCTCTTTAATTAGTATTTTATTATAAACCAAGTATAATTTAAAGTTAGAAATGTTAATAAGGATATTGTCATGGTATTTAATCATGTTTTAGTACATTATTATTATTTTTTAACCTTATAGTACATTATAGTTTTTTCTCTCCACATTCTCTTTATTAAATACTTCATATTCTCTACGTCTTTATTAAAATATTGAACTAATAAAAAAAATGAAAAATGAAAAAGAAAGCATAGACTTACACTGATGTCAATATCGAATGCACCAAAAAGACCAACTAACTCATCCTTCCCTAGAGCAACTATGTTCCACATATGATGAAGATGCAATATGATCCTAAGGTAAGATTATCCTTTGATCAACTTATTGCTAGTTTGAGAATTAAGGTCCATTGTAACCCAATAAACAGAACAAAAGAGAAATAATGAATTGCTAAAAGCAATGAAAGTGCTAAGAAAAATAAAGAAAATAAAGGCCTTTGGAATAAAAAAGATGGTTGACTCTTTTTCATTAAAAATCAATTAAAATGATATAATTTTAGAGTCTTTTTTGTTCTAATTTTTTACAAGTATAGCTAATAAACATTATATATATATATATATAAAAATAGATAATGTAGAATAGGAAGGTTCAATTCTTGATGAATAAGACACCAAGTTCTATTCAAGATTGAATTGTAATAATTAAAGAGAAAATATTTTTGATATAATTAGACTCCATAATTTTCTATAAAGGTTGAATTGTTGTAATTAGCAAGAATTAGTTTAGGGTTTTTTTTTTTGTTTTTTTATACTCATTAACTTGTTAAATATCAAGTTTCCAAAACTTAGTACCCAAGAATTATTAATTTTCTATTCTAATTTTTTTTTTATTTTTGATCAATGATACAATTAAAATAGGAAGAAAGATGGTCCCAATTACACTTATTAATATTTGAGTCACACATCTTATTTTATAATTGTAGATTGAATTTATTTCCTAATTTAAATTTGAATTATTCTTTAATGTATAGATTTTAAAAAAATGGATATTTATCAAAGATATTTTATTGAGTATTTATTTGAAATTTTTTATAAAAATTTTTTGTTATAACAAACAAATTATATATTTATTGAGGATTTTTTTTGAAATTTAGGTATTTATTTACAAATTTTAAAGAAAATTTTGTTATTATAACAATTTTATATACAATTAAGATTAAAATGATTGTAAATATTAGATCACCTTAAACTTTAATGAGCATGATCTACACACAATTAGACCATTAAATCGAATTATTGGTTTGCTAAAATACAAACTATATAAAAGAATCTATTAGCTAGTGTAAGATGTGGTATAAATTACCTAATTTAATCTTAACTCATCTATAACACATCAACTAATCTAAAGGTAACAATTTAACTAGAGGAACTATATACTTTTTTTTTTTTGGTACATAGGAACTACATACATATACATTTTAATGTATGATGTATGCGGTGTTTGGGATTATTATGAGGTACTAGTCTATAACTATAGTTGTGGTTATATTAAACTGTGTTATATTGTAAATATAGTTAAAAGTTATTTTAATTATTGATTATTTATTTTTTAAAAATATTATGTGTGAAATATGATAAATTTTATTAATTATTAATTAAAATTTAAAAATATTATATAATATATAATTACTAAAATAAATAACATTTACTACATCTTAATAATTTAGGTTTTCAACTTTCTTATGATGGGTTTTTTGGGTTTCCTCGTAGAGTAATTCATAAAAAGGGAATGAGTACTTTATAAGAAAGAAATAAGGTTTTAGTTTTTTTATGAAATTTTCAAATAAATGACAGATTAAATCTAAATAAAATATTATAAATTATGATACAATCAAATTAAATGATGTTGAGTTTTAATAGGTAATTTTGTAAGTATACTTAATATTTTGTGTTATTTGTAAAAATTACAGTAAAAAAGTTTCAAAATAAA